GGAACGTACCGAGGTGCCCCAGTAGGAGTTGGCAGTGCGGGCGAGGAATGACACAGCAGTCCCCGCCACCGGATTGGACGCCAGGTAGTAATCCGCGATCCAGTGCTCCACAATCCCCGCAATCGCCTGGTACCGCAGATTCGCTGATGTGGACAGGAACGCGCCGTACACCAGTGCGGTTTTGAACACGGGAGATCTCGCCACTGTAGATTTTGTTACTGTAGATCCGCTGCCACTCGCGGCTGCTTCCCCTGCAGTTGCTGCTGCAGCAGTTCCCGAGCCTGCCACCACCCCTCCCACCGCCCATGCCACTCCAGTTTCCGTTTCTGTGGTAACCTGCCCGTTGGCTGCCTGATCAATAGATTTTGCGGGCAGCTTGTTTTTCATGTCCGCCAGAAGATTAGTCAGCGACAGCGTCGCCACGCTTGAAACGAATCCGACCGAAAAGAGTTTTGTTCCCGCCACCACCACCGTTCCGATTCGCTCCGCGAGGCCAAAATTCTGCCCAGGCTCGGCCATCTGAAACGCGTTGTGGGGCAGCGTGGAAATCCACGAGGTCAGCCCGCCAAAAAGTTTTTCCCCAGCTGCCCCCCCGGCCGCCTGCGCGGCCGGACCCGCGGCATCCCGGAAGGAGAGACGCGGCGCGGGCAGCCAGACCGAAAAGAAGTTCACCACGGTGCCGCGGAGAATGTCCGCGGAAACGTATTCGAGCTCCGACCAGAATCGATCCCCGCGCTTCTGGAACTGGGCGGCGAGTGACGTGGCGATACTAATCGCCTCCTCCGTGCATAGCCGCTGCAGGAATCGCGGATCCGCGTAGAACCGCTCCCGCAATCCCTGGAAGCGCTTGGTCGCCTCCGCGACCAGCGGGTTGTTCTCGAGCTCGAAAAACGACTGGAGTGTATCGGGGGAGATTAATCCGCGCTCGATCCCGACTTGCAGGTCCCGCGGGAGCGCGTCGGGGGTGCGCCCCGCGGCGCCCATCACGCGCGCGATCTCCGCGCGGTCGAAGCAGTTGCGCGTGCACGCCCAGCTTCCCGAGTACCAGAAGAAATCCGCCTCGGGGAAATCGGACTCGAGCCGCGCGCGCTGCCGCTCGGGGTTCAGCAGCACGACGGCCTGCGACGCCGGCGACGCGCGCAGCCAATCCGCGACGCGCGACGGCACGCCGCGACCGTTGGCGCCGAATCGCACGTGCGACGCGCCGGTGAGAACGACGAGAAGCCCGATCTTCCCGCTTTCTGACATTGCCTGCGAGATCGCGCCAGCCATGGCGTGATCTTCCACCACACGCGCCTGCGCGAACCAGTACGGGCCCGGGCCGAACGGAAACGAGGCTCGGGAGGAGGTTCGGGAGACGAGAGGTTCGGCAGCGTTCGCGATGGGTTCGATTCCCAGCAGCCCGCCGTTTCCGCCGCTGATGCTGCTGATGCCGCCATTTGCTAGTGAAGACGAGCCGCCCGTTGCGGCGCCGCCGAACGCGGAGCTACTAGCGGATCCGTACGAAGGGACGGCAGTGGTGCTGTCGGGCCGCAGATAAGCGGCCGAACCGCCGCCGAGCGGCGGCGCGTACTTTTTGCGGTCCGGCGGGGAAAGAGCTTGAATACCGCCCGCTTGCACTGTTCGAAGCACCTTTGGGGGCACGCCGCACGCGAACAGGCGAACTCCTGCTTCACGACAGTAGCGAAGGAGTGGTAACATTTCCTGAAAGCGGCCCTTGGGCCAGTAGTTGACTGCCACCTGGAGCTCATCCTCTGGAAGCCTGCCAGAAGTAACAGCAGCGAAGTCGAAGCGGGGGCAGTTTGGAAATTGCCCTGAAGACGAAAACAACGAGGAGAGAGAGAACACGAAAGGAAAAAAAAAAAAAAAAAAAAACGCGAAAATGGCTGAACCAAACATCCATTTGCTTACCTTCCTCCGATGAATTTGTCGAGCAAAGGTTGCATGGAGCGCGGGAACGCGGAGAGCGCGAGAGTGACCGGCCGACCCGCTGCGAACGAGTCGTCGCGCAGCTTGCGCAGGATCTCGAGCGCCACTGCCTGCAAGAATGCAATCAAATCGTATCAAATTTGATCGAAACGAATTAGATCACGAAGGCGAAAACGGGAATCTGGTGAAGCATCTGGCGGGAGCGACTCTCTGTGCGGCTGGTTTGTGCGATGGCGAAGAAACGGGGAAAGAAGAGACGAGGAGGAAGGGGATGTGGGCAGGATGGAAACGGAGAAGACATGAAGGATGAGGGGCGTGGGGCTGCGGCTGTTGGTGCAAATGGTGCGACTGACGCGAGTGAGGCATCTTTGGAAATAACGCACTAAAAAAAGGCACGGCAAGACAGCGGCACGCACAAACAAGTGGTTACTAACAGAACACTGCTACCAGCGGCATCACAGCGGCACCGCTTTCGCACCTTATCCGTGGGATCGCGAACGACCTCTGCTTCGCCAAGGTAAACAACCTTCGCCGCCAGCAGCCTCTCCCACGCCTTCGTCTTATCCCCGACAAGAGCCGGCTCGCCAACCGTTGTAGCGTCATACACGCGCGATTTACTCACTGCTGGTCCGCTCTTACCCAATAACCCCCCCTCTCCGTCCACACCTCCTGCCGCGTCGCCTAAGAACCACATCGGCTGCTTCTTAGGAGGCTCTACGGTCTTAGCTAAAGCCGCATCGACTAATCCTAGCTCCGCGGCTCCCGTCGCAGCGAGCGTCGCAAGACCGAGCCCTAGAAGCGTGCGACGGTCCATTTTGGGCGACGAAAGCTTCGCAACGGCTTCGGTGCGAGGAGGAGTAACGGCCAAGGGGGCGGCGCTAGCCGAATCTACTGCGCTTGACGAAGGGGTTACGGCACGGGTACAGTCAATAGCCGCCGCATCAGACGCATCATACGCAACACGCGCATCCCGCTGGACTGCAGATGCTGTGGCGCATCGGGAACTAGAGGCGGACGAAGAGGATCGCTCGACTGACGCCGTAACGCTAGGCCGCTTTTCCGCGAGGAACGGATTAGCTCTGACCAGGCTGCGCCGCTGATAGCTGCTTAGAACGGTGCTGTTCTTATTGCGAGCCGCGCAGCGATCTAACGGCGGAAGTGGCGCTGGTGTGAACGGCCGAGGAGATCCCGAGGCTCCGGAAAATGCGGGTGAGATTCCGGAGACTCCGGAGAAGAATCCGCAGGCCGCGGAAGACATGGCGTCAGGTGCAGGGGAAGACAGCGATCGAGGGAGCGGAGCGACGGCGGGGGAGGATACCGATCGGGGGAACGCCGCGATTCCGGGAGCCTGCGTGAGGCGCGGGCTCCGCTGGGGATTCGCCGATGACCGATGACGCTGAGACGCGCGTTTCTCGAGGGACGGAATGAAGGAGTTGCTAGAGGGGACCAGGCCGTGTGGGGTTGACTGACGTCGCAGAAGCAGGGTGCGAGTGTTATCCATGCTGCCACTGCAGGGTGGAGCTATTTGGACCTGTTAAAAACTGTTTTAGTGACAAGTCGCGGGAATGCGGGAAGCAGCAGGGAGATGAGGGAAGAAGCAGAATCTGCGTGAAGGATGACGCTGGAGCAGCTGCCACTACAGGCCTCTGTGGCACTGCTCAAACAATTAGACCTCTAATTGAATTCAGTACTTGCAACGGGGTTCCTACTAAAAAGCCCACTGCTCCGCACTCCCTACAGCAACTTGTCACAGCCGCAAACTTCTGGAGGAATCACAACGGGGGAACCCGAACTGATGAAGCGGTACGTCATGGCCATGGATGAAACCTGGTTGAGCGTATCGAGGCAAATTTCAAGAACAGGGGAGGACGAGATGGGCAAGGGCAGATTAGAGCGGTGGGCAGATTAGTGGAGCGAGTAGGGCAGATTCGAATGGCGGCAATGGGCAGGCTCGGGCAGGGGAGGTTGGGCGGAGAGGAGCGGCGTGACATGGGCGAACAGAATGCGAAAGGTGTTGCTGGAAGTCACCAATTGGTGAGTTTCGCTGGAGTGCGGTGTTTTTGTTCGCATGTGCGCTGTATCCTGTTTTTGTTTTGTGCGTGATTAGATTGACTTGCAGAAAGGGCAGAAGACAAAAGTTATGCGAGGCCCAACGAGTTTGTGGTGCTCATAGCGGCACGACAGATTCACCGAATGGTCTGGAACACTCCTCGTGAATGGAGCCGCGTTATGCTTGGAGGGGGCGAGGTCCAGGGAGATCCCAAGATGCTCCCCCCTAGAAAAGATTCCGTATCCCCATTGGTCGAACGGAATTTGCTTGTCGGCGTGGCGCAAGGAGCAACACATGTAAAATTCTCGCTAGCGCGACGTGCAGAGGAGCTGCCAGCGCACGAGTAAGATATGGACTTGAGGAACCTGTGAACGGAGCGCGTGTTCACGGAGTGGGGGCTCGTGCTGGCAAAACGAGAAATATCACGTCGCCGCATTTCCCTGCACCATGGAAAGTCTTTCGCGCGTGAGATGGCACGACTTAACACGACCTGGGAGATCTTCTTATCCGTTCGCACAGTCACTAACTGCGAGTTGAGAGCATCTTTATGCGACGCTTTTCCGTCGCACTGGCGCTAATCTATCGCCCAGTCATAATGACACACCCTCGTCGGCTGTGCAAAGATTCGTGTCCTCGTGTGCTTGTTTGTAACAGTGCTCAACGAATGACGGGACGAACGCTCCACATTATTCTGGATATTGTACACCATTCTTAATCCCGACTTAAACACCTAACTTTTGATACATGTTCTCCACAGAGTTTTGCTTGTGAGCACCAAGAGATGACAGAACTTAATCAAATACGATATTTTAGTCATCCATAAACAATTAGCTTGGTAGAAATTTGAGCAGCCGATGCAATATATTTAACATGCTCGAGATTGGCTTGGCACATGTATCACAAACAATATAAAAAAATCTAGCTCACTGTGGCATGACTACAAAAGCACCTTCTGTGCTGCTTTCACACTCCTGCCCTCTCTCTTGACACAAATCCACATCCTCTAATGACCATAACTGCACTACAAGGCGTCTTCCGCGCGCACGAGACCGCGGCCAAAGTAGAGAGCGACAACACCAAAGCCGTCGCGGGCGTCATGCAGCTCCTGGAAGAAGCGGTCGTGGTCCGCCGCACTCTGCCTCAGCCCCACCCGCATCTCTCTCACCACCCGGTATGATGCCGCACACTTGGGGCACTCCATCCCTCCCTCCCCTCCCTCCCCTCCCTCCCCTCCCTCCCCTCCCTCCCCTCCCTCCCCTCCCTCTCCTTCCTCTCCTCCCTCTCCTACATCTCCCATCCCTCCTCCATACCCCCCCGCTCTTCCCCCGCCGTACCCTCCCCCTCCCATGCCTCCTCCCATCACCCCTCCGCCCCCGCTCACCCCCCCCACGTCACCTGCCATTGAGGCAGCAGCCGCGGCTGTAGCGGCGGCTACTGCCGTGGTTGGGTCAGCAAGGCAGCGCAGGTGGAACGCATGCAGACAAAAGAAGTGGACGGCGGGGAGGTCGAGTGGCGAGTTGCACTCGGCACAGCGGGAGGACTGGAAGACGAGAGGTTCGGTCAGGAGCTGGTGCAGATCTTTCCTGTACTTGTCAGTCTCGTGCTGTTGGGGGGAATGAATGCAAGACACAGCGGGGAGATGGGAACATTAGTGGTGTCGAGCGGTGGTTGCACTCGAAACATCGGGAGGGCTGGAAGACGAGAGGCCCAGTCAGGATTTGGTGGAGTTCGTTCCTGTACTTGTCAGTCTCGTGCTGTTGGGGCGTGCAGGGGTGTTGGTAAGACAGGAGGGACGGAAAGAGAGGGAAGAGTCACTAGGGTCGGGCGGTGAATTGCACTCGGCACATCGGGAGGACTGGAAAACAAGTGGCTCGTAGTATCTAAATCCTGCCACCCGTCCCCACCCGTCCTGCGACACGTGCTAACCTCCATCCATTCCTCTGTATCCATCCCCTGCTACCATCCATCCCCACCTACTGGCACCCCTCCCCACCTGGTATTTCTCAATCGCCCGCCTGTCCTCCTCAATAATGGCTGTCTCCTGCTGCAAGTGCCGCGACACATAGTCCCGTATCTCCCCCACCGTGATGTGCGGGCTGCGCGAGAGAGTCTGCATGGGGCAAGCCAAGGAGGGCAGAGGAACAAGAGGGAGAGGGAGGAGAAGGGAGGGAGAGGGAGGAGAAGGGAGGGAGAGGGAGCAGAGAGGGTGCATGTGAGAGTGCCGCGACACATAGTCCCGAATTTCCCCCACCGTGATGTGTGGGTTGTGCGAAAGAGTCTGGTGTGAGGAGGGAGGGAGACAAAGAGCAGGAGGGAGAGCGAGAGCAGGAGGGAGAGCGAGAGCAGGAGGGAGACTGGTTGCATATGTACGTGTCCTGTCACATAGTCGTGTCAATTTTCATAAACATCACAAGCAGCTCACATGCAGCACCAGCAGAGGCGGCAGCAGGTTACCCCTCTCCACCGCACTTAACACCTCCTCCCCCCTCGCCTCCCCCCGTTCCCCCAGGTACCTAACAACATCCGCCCACACACTCGGATCTTCCCCCCTCCCCGCATCCCCCAGTCGCTTGCACGCAGCAATGAGCTCACCTGCAGCACCAGCAGCGGCGGCAGCAGGTTACCCCTCTCCACCGCACTCAACACCTCCGCCACCTCCTCCCCGCACGCCTCCCCCCGTTCCCCCAGGTACCTCACAACGTCCGCCCACACACTCGGATCTCCCCCCCTCCCCGCATCCCCCAGCCGCTTGCACGCAGCAATGAGCCCCTTGCTGTCGCCCTCCCGCATGTGCATCGCCAGGGCCTCCTTGAAGAGCCGCATTCTCTCATATAGGAATATTAGCCCGTCCCTGAAGCCATGGACCTGAAATGGAAGGGCGAGGGGAGGGGGAGGATGAGTGGGGAGGTGTTAACGGGGAGGAAGTGGAACGGGGAGAAACAGTCCCCCTCCCCGCATCCCCCAATCGCTTGCACGCAGCAATGAGCCCCTTGCTGTCGCCCTCCCGCATGTGCATCGCCAGGGCCTCCTTGAAGAGCCGCATTCTCTCGTACAGGAAGAGGAGGCCATCCCTGAAACCATGTACCTGGGAAGGGGAGGGAGAAACGAGTGGGGAAGCGAGGGGACTTTTGAGTCGACTCAAAAGGCACCTCGTTACTATGGCCGTCCCTGAAGCCATGCACCTGGGAAGGGGGAGGGAGAAACGAGCGGGGAAGCGAGGGAGCGGGTGAGGGAGGAGACAGGGGAGGAGAGGAGTGGGAAGGCGAAGGAGGGAACAAGGGGGATGCGGTTAGAAAATCTTGCATCCAACACATAAATGCAATACTGGAATCAGTATTGAGAATTCCACGTGGAAAAAATCGAAAGAGAGGAGACGAGTTTGCAAACACTGAATGTAACACACAAAAGAATGAACTCACTCACCTGACACGTCAGCAGTGCCAGGTCAGCGTCGTAACGAGGAGCCGACTGCTGCTGCCAATAGGCTCGCAGCAACGCCCCTGCCTTCGCCAAGCAAGCTGCCCGATCATTACCCTCTCCACTCCTAGGTGACACGATAACTCCCCTTTCACCAACCCCCTCCCCCCCGCTCGCTCCTGTTCCTCCTCTTCCAGCAGAAGCAGCAGCGGCAGCAGAAGCAGGAGGAGAAGTGAGTGAGGTGGGAGAAGGGGGGATGAAAGAGGAGTTGGTTGCAGCACTGCTGCTGTTGCTGCTGCTGCTGGCTGCTTCTCTCTCTTTTTGCTGCCCGAGAAGCATCCTTCGTTCTGCCCACCGCACGGGATCCGTCCGGGCAGAATCACCTGAAAGAAACGAGCTGCCCGTGCTATCACTGCAAGCAGGACCAGCAGCACCGGCACCGGCGGCAGCAGCTTTTAGAACTGACTCAAAGCTTGGAAGCTCAGAATCAGACGAAGAGGAAACATAATCTGACGGGAGGGAGGAGGAGGAGGAGGAGGAGGATGGGAGGGAGGCTGAGGTCTCATAGCAAAGGTATAACTCAAGGAGCGAATTAAGGACGTCTTTATGCCACGGGGAGTCTATAACCCTGTCTACATAGGCCTCTAGGAACTTCATCAGGCATCGTGGTTGGTCGACAAAGACCGGGGCTAATTCCATTGGTGACAGGTATTTCTGCTGCTGCCCGAGATCCGAGATGCGAATTTTCGTGCCGGAGCTGCTGCTGCTGCCCGAACTGTTCGGGCTTCCCATGAGCCTGCCCGAGCCGGAAACGAGTGACTTTCGAAAGCTGGAAGAACGAGGGGGGATGGTAACTGGGGCAACTGCTGCTGCTCCTCCTCTTGGTGTTGCTGCTGCTGCTCCTGTGCCTGCAGCTCCATCAGCAGCAGCAGCACCTGAAGAAGCACCTGAAGAAGCACCAGGGCTGGGGCGAGGAGAGGCAGACTCTCTGTTATCCCTAAACCGAGAGGGGCCTGCTCCAGTTCCCCCTGATCCTTCCCCACCTGTTAAGCCAGTACCGATTCCCATCCCCCCTCCGTCTCTGCTGCTCCCGAATCCCGTGCAGAGCTCTAAGAACAAAGAAATCGTTTCCTCGGGCAGGTGAGCCGCCAGCACCGGCCCGTATTCCCGGGCAGCCGAAACAATTTTCGCCCGGTCAGGAAGGGCGGAAATGAAGGCCAGCGCGTCGGCGTAGCGGTGTAGATCCTCCACCAGGATTTTTAGGTAAGCGGAATGCTTAGTGGCGCGCTGAGCTACGAAAAGAGCCTGGCTGTAATACCCGGCGGAACAGCAGACTTGGATCACCGTGTCGGGATCGTATGGGAGGGTGGGAGAGGAGGAGGAGTGAGGGAGTGAGAGGGAGAGGGAGAGGAGGAGAGTGGAGGCAGAGGAAGGTGTGGGCCTGTCTGTGGTTGCTGGTTCGATGGAGTGGGTATCGGAGGAAGGGGAATCGAAGCCGGCCCGGACGAAGGCATCCAGTTTAGAGACGTCCTGGTAAGCGGGTATGGGAGAGCGGTGCATGTGGGTGTGGAGGGATGGGCAGGAGTGCAGCATGAGACTGGTTGTGGTTGCTGGTTCAATGGAGTGGGTATTGGAGGAGGGAGCATCAATGCCGGCCCAAACGAAGGCATCCAGTTTGGAGACGTCCTGGTGGGCGGGAAAGAGAGAACGGTGCACATGGGTTTGGAGGGATGGGATGCGCAGTGGCTCAGTACGGGAGAGAGTAGCAGTGTTTTGAGTCGACTCAAAACACAGGGGCTCAGTACGAGCCTCTCTAACCCTCTCTAGCCTAGCACGTTCCACTCACCTTGAGGCACCGGAAGCAGTTGATGAGCAGGGTGGTGTGGTCGGTGTGGCCACCCCCTTATCTTACAGCCGCTCCAGGTACCGGGCCAGCAGGAGCCTCTCTAGCCTAGCACATTCCACTCACCTTGAGGCGCGAGAAGCAGTTTATGAGCAGAGTGGTGTGGTCCGGCGTAGCAACGCCCTTATCGTGCAGCCGCTCCAGGTACCGAGCGAGCAGGGCGAGCCTCTCTAGCCGAGCACATTCCACTCACCTTGAGGCGGGAGAAGCAGTTGATAAGCAGGGTGGTGTGGTCCGGAGTGGCCACGCCCTTATCGTGCAGCCGCTCCAAGTACCGGGCGAGCAGGCTCAAGCGCTGTGCGTGCAGGTAGCGTTGAATCACGTATGACGGCTCCACCTGGCCAATGGTCCTCTCGTACTGCCCCATTGCCTCCTCATAGTCCTGTGGAGAGGGGAGGGCAGGGCGAGGGGGGGTTGAGGAGAGGAGGTGAGGGGGAGTGGGGGGGTGGGGGGATTCCTGTGTTCCTGGGGGTACCGCGCAAGCAGGCTCAACCGCTGGGCGAGCAGGCTCAACCGCTGGGCGAGCAGGCTCAACCGCTGGGCGAGCAGGCTCAACCGCTGGGCGAGCAGGCTCAACCGCTGGGCGTGCAGGTAGCGTTGAATCACGTATAACGGCTCCACCTGCCCGATGGTTCGCTCGTACTGCCCCATTGCCTCCTCATAGTCCTGTGGTGAGCGGGGGCGAGGGCAGGGCGAGGGCGAGGGGATAATGTGCAGGGTCGGCCGCTGGGCGTGCAGGTATGAATCACTTCTGACGGCTCCACCTGCCCGATGGTGCGCTCGTACTGCTGCATTGCCTCCTCATAGTCCTGTCATGTAGGTACAGGGAGAGGAAAAGAGGACCAGCGGGGTCGGCTGCTGGGCGTGCAGGTATGAATCACTTCTGACGGCTCCACCTGCCCGATGGTGCGCTCGTACTGCTGCATTGCCTCCTCATAGTCCTGTCATGTAGGTACAGGGAGAGGAAAAGAGGACCAGCAGGGTCGGCTGCTGGGCGTGCAGGTATGAATCACTTCTGACGGCTCCACCTGCCCGATGGTGCGCTCGTACTGCTGCATTGCCTCCTCATAGTCCTGTCATGTAGGTACAGGGAGAGGAAAAGAGGACCAGCAGGGTCGGCCGCTGGGCGTGCAGGTATGAATCACTTCTGACGGCTCCACCTGCCCGATGGTGCGCTCGTACTGAATCATTGCTTCCTCATAGTCCTGCCGGAAAGAGGGGGGTTGAGGAGAAGGTGGGGTGGGAGGGAAGGGCCAGCCGCTGGGCGTGCAGGTATGAATCACTTCTGACGGCTCCACCTGCCCGATGGTGCGCTCGTACTGCCCCATTGCTTCCTCATAATCCTGTTGTGAAGAAGGGAGGCGAAGAGGGGAGGGAGGAGAGCCGCTAGGCGTGCAGGTAGCACTGAATCACGTATGTCGGCTCCACTCCACCTGCCCGATGGTTCTCTGATACTGCCCCATCGTCTCCTCATCATAGTCGTGCCGTGCAGAGACAGGGAGAGGACAAGATACAAGCTGGGAGAATTCGAGCCAGGTCGAAACTGCTTTGCTATGCCAGTGATAGGTTGCCAAATCCCATCACCTGCTTTGCGTACAGATGGTCCCCGAAGCGCCTCAGCACTTCAGCCGTGACAGCGGCATCCCCTCCCTGCGACACCACCAGGTCCAGTGCACTCGAGTACAGCCCCTTTCGGAACAGCGCCTCCAGCTTCCACCCACCCATTTGCACCCATTCCCACCGTATCCGACCTGCTTTGCGTACAGGTGGTCCCCATATCGCCTCAGCACTTCCGCCGTGGCAGCAGCATCCATCCCTCCCTTAGGACACAACACGGTCCAGCGCACCCGAATACAGCCGCTTGCAAAACAGCGCCTCCAGCTTCCACGCCATGTCCCTCTCCACCAGCAGTACCCCCCTCGCCGATTCTCACCCATTCACACCTGTTTCTCACCTGCCTTGCGTACAGGTGGTCCCCGTATCGCCTGAGCACTTCAGCTGCAGCAGCAGCATCCCCTCCCTGAGATACAACAAGGTCCAGCGCACTCGAATACAGCCCCTTGTCCCTCTCCACCAGCAGCAACCCCCTCGCCTCCACCCCACACGCACTCCACTAGCAGGCACCAAATTCACACCCATCCACACCCAGTCCCACTCGTTTCTCATCTGCTTCGCATACAGGTGGTCCCCGTATCTCCTCAGAACTTCAGCCGTGGCAGAAGCATCCCCTCCCTAGGACACAACAAGGTCGAGCGCACTGAAGTAGACGACTTTTGAGACGTCTCAAAAGGACACAACAAGGTCGAGCGCACTGAAGTAGACGACTTTTGAGACGTCTCAAAAGGACACAACAAGGTCGAGCGCACTGAAGTAGAGCCCCTTGCAGAACGAAACCCCTAGCAAGCAAGCAACCACCCATGCCATGCGCACCCATTCACACCCTTTTAACCCATTCATAACCCACCTGCTTTGCGTACAGATGGTCCCCATAGCGTCTCAACACTTCAGCCGTGGCAGCAGCGTCCCCTCCCTGGGACACCACGAGGTCCAGCGCACTGGAGTAGAGCCCCTTGCGAAAGAGCGCCTCCAGCTTCCACGCCATGTCCCTCTCCACCAGCAGTAGCCCCCTCGCCTCCACACGCACTGCCCCTCCCCCTCCCGTTGCTCCTCCTCCTCCTGTTGCTCCTCCTCCTGTTGCTCCTCCTCCTGCCCCTCCCCCTCCTCCGCCTCCTCCTCCTCCTGCTGAGACCCCTCCTGCATCTCCTCCCCCTCCCGCGCCATCGCCTCGCCTGTGCAGGGAGAGGAGCACCACGGCGCCTCCCTCGCACAGCAGCAGCAGGGGCGCGAGGAGAGAGGCGGCGGGGGTGAGCGGCGCAGAGTGGACCACCAGCTTGTTACGTGTGTCATACACTGAGAGGCTCATTCGCTGCTGCTGCTGCTGCTGCTGCTGCTTTCCAGAATTCCCACCACCACCAGCACCGCCGCCGCCACCGCCGCCGCTGCCACCACTGCCACCACCACCACCAGTCGTCGCTGAACCAGTAGCAGCAGAAGCAGCAGAAGAGGGAGGGGAGGGCGGCGAGTGCAGGCAGAGCAGGTAGCCTCGCAGGCAGGCGAGGCGGTGCTTGGGGCCGTCCAGCCCAAAGCACGCCCCCGGGCCATCCTCGTTGAAACAGTAGAAGGCTTCTGGGCGCGCCACCACCAGATCCTGATGGGTAAGGGGGAGAGAGAGAGGCGCATGAGAGATGGATCAGAAGCAGTAGCAGCAGCAGAGGCAGCAGCAGTCGAGGCAGCAGCTGCAGTGGCAGTGGTAGCAGTGGGAGCAGGGGAGGGTGGCGAGTGCAGGCAGAGCAGGTAGCCTCGCAGGCAGGCGAGGCGGTGCTTGGGGCCGTCCAGCCCAAAGCACGCCCCCGGGCCATCCTCGTTGAACCAGTAGAAGGCTTCTGGCCGTGCCACCACCAGATCCTGATGGGTAAGGGGGAGAGAGGGAAGGAGAGGATGAACGAGGCAAAGAGAGGGAGAAGAGGCAGTACAAAGGAAGGGATAGAGTTTCCATAGCAGGTCCCCGGGCCATCCTCGTTGAACCAGTAGAAGGCCTCTGGGCGCGCCACCACCAGATCCTGATGGGTAAGGGGGAGAGAGGGAAGGAGAGGATGAACGAGGCAAAGAGAGGGAGAAGAGGCAGTACAAAGGAAGGGATAGAGTTTCCATAGCAGGTCCCCGGGCCATCCTCGTTGAAACAGTAGAAGGCCTCTGGGCGCGCCACCACCAGATCCTGATGGGTAAGGGGGAGAGAGGGAAGGAGAGGATGAACGAGGCAAAGAGAGGGAGAAGAGGCAGTACAAAGGAAGGGATAGAGTTTCCATAGCAGGTCCCCGGGCCATCCTCGTTGAACCAGTAGAAGGCCGAGAGAGAGGGAGAGGAGATGCAAGGGAAAGAGGAGAGGGCAGGAACAGAGAGCACTCTCACCCACCCTCACTCACCCTCACTCACCCTCACTCACCCTCACTCACCCTAACTCACCCTCACTCACTCTCAAAGCGCTCACCTGGGTATCAGTCATGGCAGAGCAGAACACATCCCCTCCTCTCTCCTCCAGCACTACCCCCCACCCTCCTCCCCCTCCCCCTCCTCCTCCACCTCCCTTCCCCGCCCACCCTCCCTCCGCTGCAGCCCCAAACATGCCACTGGGTAGCGTGTACAGTGTGACTGTCTCGCCCGTGACTATAAAGAGCTGCGGGCCTGAATCCAGGATCCGGAACCCCAGCCCTGTGACTGCAACGGGGGGGAGAGCTCTGGCAGTTGAAGGCAAAACAGAAGCAGAGGCAGAGGTAGAAGGGGAGGAGTGTGAGGAGGATGACGAGTGCTCGCTCCTCCCTCCTGCTCCTGCTCCGGCTCCTCCTGCTGCTATACCTCCTCTCCCTTCCCCAACACCTAGCGCATCTCCACCCCCTCCCCCTCGCCCTCCGCCTTCCCCCGCACCCTCTCTCCCCCCTGCGCCCCCCACTCCGCCCGCTCCCACTGCCCCGCCTTGCCCCTGGCTGCTGTTGGGGGGGATTCTCAGCCGTTTGATCCGCATGGAGGAATCTGCTAGCAGCACATCAACGGCTCCTGTGGCTAATCCAACGGCCAGGAGGTAACCCAGCTGAGGAGCCTCGCGGATTGCACAGGATGTGATCTGGGGAGCAGAGCGAGGGGAAAAAAAAGGAGGAGGGGGGAGGGAGGGGGACAGGGGAGAGGAGGGGAAGAAGGGCAAATGGGTCTGAGAGATGGGAGTCACTTGATTTGCTCTGCATGGAGGAATCAGCTAGCAGCACATCAACGGCTCCTGTGGCTAATCCAACGGCCAGGAGGTAGCCCAGCTGAGGAGCCTCGCGAATTGCACAGGATGTGATATGCATGCATGAGGAACGAACGGGGGGGATGTCCTTTAACCACCCAACCCACGTCGCCCCTCTTATAGCCCATACCCATACTACCCTGGGAAACAAATTAACCAGTGCCACCCACGTATAAGGGTGGGTACATCTTTGCGATCTGTAGTTAATCCAATGGTCAGGATGGATTGTCTGTGATTGGACACAGGCTGCTGGTGGTTCTGCCCAAGTATCTACTCGCTTAGTCAATCACTCACTCGCTCACTCACTCTCACACGCATGCACTCGCTCACACGGTGACTCATGCATTCACACTCACTCACACACGCATTCACTTACTCACCCGCTCACACACTCACATTCACTCGCTCGTTCCCACACACACACGACATGGTCACCCACAACCAATCTACAACATCACCTGTGCGGCAGGAAAAGCGTCGGAGAAGATGTTATAAGTCCGTAAAGGCGCCGGTGCCTCTCACGTCTCTACCTTTTGCGCGCGCAAGCACACACATATGCACTCACTCACTCCAGCACTCACTCACTCCAGCACTCACTCACCTGTGCAGCAGGAAAGGCGTCTGAGAAGATGTTATACGTCCGTAAAGGCACCGGGGCACCCCCCTCCAGTGCTACTGCTGCGCCTGAAGCACCTGAAGAAGCACCGGCACCCGCAACAGCAGGAGCAGCAGTCTTGTCCAAATCCCACAGCACCACAGCTGCTCCCCTTGCCTCCTTGCCCACTGTCAACAGACAGCTACGTTGCTGAGAGTAGGGGAAGGGGGGAGGGTGAAGGGGGAGCGGGAAGGGGGCCTTTGAGAGCAGGAGCAGCAGTCTTGTCGACGTCCCACAGCAACGCTGCTGCTCCTTTTGCCTCCTTGCCCACGGTTGACAGACAGCTGCGTTGCTGGAGAGAAGGGTGTGTGGAAGGGGGATGGGGGCCAAGGAGGGTTTTGAGAGGAGCAGCAGCAGCAGCAGCAGTCTTGCCAAGGTACCACAGGCATAGCACAGCATCACTGCTGCTCCCCTTGCCTCTTTCCCCACTATCAGCCGACAGCTCCGGTGCTGCAAGTTGAGGGGTGAGGGGACGAGCGTGGGGGGAGGAAGGGGATAAAAATGAGAATAAGATTGTAGCATAAGGTGGATGTCAGGATGATACCTGAAGTGAATTTCAGGATGCTACTTCAAATGGATGTCGGGATGTCACCTGAAATGGATTTCGGGATTTTACCTGAAATGAATTTCGGAAAAGTACCTGATGTGGATGTCAAGTCAAGTGGGTGGGGGAACACATCATAAATAGTCAGCGTGTAGTGAGTCGAGTTTTGAGTCGACTCAAAACTCGAATCTCGGAAAAGTACCTGATGTGGATGTCTTTTAAGTGGGGGAACACATCATGAATAGTCAGCAGTTAATGAACGCGCCCCAGTACTGGTCTTAAACACGTCTACTAGCGTTTCGGACGTATTGAAAAGCTGCCGTTACACTTAGCTGCGTCCCTGTCGCACCTTGAACAGGTGTAGAAACGCCACGGGACCTTCATGAGCCACGAAGCTTCGCCGAACATGCAGCGACCGATCTAGCAACAGAACCGAGCCGCTCTCCGTGCCAACGGCTAGTCGGCCTCGGCCTCCCGCACCGCACCGCACGCCCTGCGCGAGCGCGTCGGCTAGCGGCCCGACGGGCGAGCGGTCCTCGAAGAACTGGAAGCGACGCCACTGATTCATGGCTACCAGAGTGGACTGATTGGCGATAAGACTGGGTTAGAATGGGTTTGAATTGACGAGCGAACGGTAGTCGAAGAACTTTAAGCGACGCCGCTGATTCTTGACGACCAGACTGGTTTGAATGGCGATCAGACCGGCCCGGTCTGCTTCAAGTTACTGCGCCAGTGGTCCTATTTCAGGCTGAAACCTTTCTGAGAATGAATGTCAGTCGGAGAATCGAAGGTTCAAACCGTTGACCAATTAGCGTCGGAGGTGCACTAGCCAGCGCACGAATGTGCGTTTCGGAATCGTCCGTGAATGCCTAGGTGACTAGGTCCGTATCACCGCCATTACGACTGACGTTTCCAAAACTGCTTTTTGAATCCCATCGCCAAGTCTTGCACAACCTGGGCCAGTTGTCAGAAGTAATTGGGTCACTGGAATTGGTTTCTCTCCTGTACTCGATATAGTTGATAGCCGAGAAGGAGGTTCCGCATAGTCACCTACAGCCGAGAACCTATCAATAGACATAACCTACAATGTACAGAGAGCAATTATTACAAAAGGTACAACACAAATAATTTCTCTTTATAAGACTCGAGCAACACATTCATCTAAAAGAGCCACCTGCTTCAGACGAGGACCCGTGTTGAGGCGAATAATGCACATAGTCGCCAATAAATCTATCAAGCGGCAATTCCATCCCATAAAGCGGTACGCCAACACCAGAGGAAACACCTTGTTCTTGCTGCCCTGAGCCAAAATACTTCCCTTGATAATCTGTTGCAAGCAATGTGCCGTCGGAAAAAGGGTCGGAGGGTAAATGCTCACCACCACTGCAATTATCCTGTACCAAATTCTCACCGCCACCATCACATCTACCCTGTGAGTTGCGCCGAGAGTGGCCAATAGGATACATTCCTCCGCCCATTTGATTGGCCACAATCCCTCCACTGCTGTGCGCCCCGTTACTGTGCATGAAACGCTGGTTATAACGTGTACGCCCGTCGTCAGGGTAGTTAGGTAAATATCCCTGATTTTGGTGGTTATGAGGGTGATAGTGGTGGCTATGGTGGTCTTGATGGCGGGGGTGACCATAAGCCGAGGGCCCATTACTCGATAGAGTCACGTGACTGTTGTGTCCTTCACTCGTTACAGTCCCATGACCACTGGGAATGCCAGCAGCCATAACCGCACGATCCAAGGGACTAAGGACAGTATGCACTTCATTAGCAGCACCAGCCGGAGCAGCAGCAGCAGGACCAGCAGAAGCAGGACGAGCCTCAGAAGGAAAGGCAGAAAAAGCAGGTGCAGCAGGAGCAGCAGGAGCAGAAGGAGCAGAAGGAGACGAAACCATGTAACCTGGTAACACCGTCTGTGACAAAGAAAGGCTAAGGAACCCCCCGGACATCAGGTGATGTGCCAGGTTCACCGAACCTGGCCTGACGTCCGAAGCTACCTCCAGGTCCGACGCTGCCGAAGCTGATCGCCGAGGCTGCGGCCGCTGGCCAATCACATTCCCTCCAGCGAAACCCGCCCGACCTGGCGAAAATCCTCTGGATAAGGAAGATGCTGACGTGGCGAGAGACGATCCTAGCCCTTGTTTGAAAACCACTTCAATATGGGAATCTAGATGAAGGAGTTGGATGAATGTTTGGAGGAGTGTAGCAACCTCCCATGCATCTTCACTGCCCACTGAGCCTCTTGTGCTGCCCGCACTTGAGAATCTTTCCGGCCCTGTTGCCCCTGCTGCCCCTACCGCTGCCCCTGCTGCTGCCCCTGCTGCTGCCCTTGTTGTTGCTGCTGCTGCTGCAGGGGAAGCGGCGGGGGAGAGACAAGGGGATGGAGAGGCAGATGCACTAGCAGCAGGAGAGGCAGAAATTGATGGGAACCCGAACCCAGAAGCACTGGGGTAAGCAGCAGCAGCAGCAGGAACAGTTGGAGGAGCAGTGTGGGTGCCGGTGCTGGTGCTGGTGCCAGTGGTGGTGCTTAATAGGCTGATTCCTGTGCGGCTGCTGCTGCTGCTGCTACCGCCGCTGCTATTACCCACGCTTCTGCTTCTGCTGCCCGCACTGCTGGTACGAACTGGCATGTGGTCGTCGGAGACGGGCGGCCAAGTGTGTCTGTAGTGGTTGCTGTGCAACACTTGATGCTCCACAGGGGCATGGCCTTGTTGACCTAATTGACTTGGTTGACCTGGCTGGCCCTGTTGACCCAGTTGACGTGGTTGACCTAGACCTGTATAGCCCTGTTGACTTGGTTGACCTGTTTGACCTGGACCTGTATAGCCCTGTTGACTTGGTTGACCTGTTTGACTTGGACTATCTAGGTGAGAAAATTGTCCCTGCTGAACAGGAGGAGTGGAAACGCCTGGTTGACTCCATTGACTGGGAGGACCGGGAGAGACTCGGGCCATCCAGGGCTGGTGGTGTTGGTGGGCCAGGTGGAGAGGCAGGTCAAAGAAGGACGGCTGGGGAGGGTTTTGAGTCGACTCATGAGGTGCCTCAGAGGCGGGCTGGGGGGTGTTTTGAGTCAACTCAGAACACATACAGGGCTGGTGGTGTTGGTGGGCGAGGTGGAGAGGCAGGTCAAAGAAGGACAGCTGGGGAGGGGAGTAGAGGGACGGGGGGAGATGCGGCAGAGGGGACTGCCTCTCATGCTGCGGGGATGGACTGTCATGCGGGGATTGTCTGTCATGGTTGCTTCTGGGGCTCACACGCGTGCCACCGCTGCCGCTGATGCTGCCGCTGGCGTTGATGCTGCCGCTGATGCTGCCGTGTTGTACCACCAAGCCTGCGCCCTGCTGCGGCCTTGAGACGAATGGCTGCCAGGACGGCCCTTGGAAGTGCGGAGAGGTTGCAGTATGAGCAGAGTGAGCAGAGTGAGCAGCATGAGTAGAGTGAGAAGAGGTCGCAGTGACACTGTCGCCCTGTGCCTCCTCCCTATGGTGCTGGTGCTGCACATGCCCCTGCTGGTGCTGGTTGTGGTGCTGCTGCTGCTCCTGCTGCGTTTGAAGCTGTTGCTGCCGCTGCTGCTGCAGGTGCTGCTGAGGGTTTAAGTGCTCCGGCTGATTCAATTGCTGCTGCCGCCGCTGCTGCTGCTGCTGCTGCTGCTGCTGCTGCTGCTGCTGCTGCTGCTGCTGCTGCTGCTGCTCCTGCTGCTCCTGCTGCTGCTGCTGCTGCTGCTGCTCCTGCTGCTCCTGCTGCTCCTGCTGCTGCTGCTGCTGCTGCTGCTGCTGCTGCTGCTGCTGCTGCTCCTGCTGCTGCTGCTGCTGCTGCTGCTGCTCCTGCTGCTCCTGCTGCGTTTGAAGCTGTTGCTGCCGCAGGTGCTGCTGAGGGTTTAAGTGCTCCGGCTGATTCAATTGCTGCTGCTGCTGCTGCTGCTGTTGCTGCTCAGTCGGCTGCTGCTGCTGTTCGTGACTATGCACATGCGTAACTGCCACGGCAGGGAACTGCAGGCTGCTGTGGGGAAATCCCAGGCCTCTCTCATGCGGCCTTCTCACCTGCCCCTCTGCAACTGCAACTGCTTCTGCTGCTGCTGGTGCTACTTTTGCTGCTCCTTCCAGTAATGGTGGTGCTACTGTCGCTGTCTCCCCTATTGCAGCCTCTCCTGCTGCTGTCTCCCCTGCTGCTGCTGCTGCTGCTGCTGCTGCTGCTGCTGTCTCCCCTGCTTCTGGAGCGCCCTTCATCCCGCCAGACCCTGCTATGCCAAGCTGTGCCGATGGTGCTGCAGCATGCACATCAGCATGATCAGAACTATCAACACCACCAGCATCAATAGCAGCACCAACATCACCGATACCATCAGCAGCATCACCAGAGCCAGGAATTGGCACATCACATGCTTTTCCAGATGACAAGGAATGCTGTTTAATCTGCTGCTCCTGGTGCTGTCTCTCCATTATACTCTCCTTTTCTTCCTCCTCCTCCTGTTGTTCGTCCACCTCCTGCTCCTCGTGCTGCCTTTTCCCGTGCTGCCCTATTTCTTGCTGCCCTGAGTCTTGCTGCTGCAAGCACGCTGAGTGTTTCTTCTTCTTTTTCTTCTTGGGTGTTTTCACAGGCGAGGGGAGCGGCCGAGCCTGGTGCTCTCTCTCCCGAGCCTGGTGGTCTGTTTGCCGAACCTGGTCCTCTGTCTGCCGTGCCTGCTGATCTCCCATCCGCGCACCTCCCAATCCTGCAGAGCCATACGCAAGCTCAGACACTTGTGCTGTGACTGCCGTCGCAGCTTCTGCTGCACCCTCTGCTGCAACTCCTGCTAAAGTGTCTTTCACGAGCTCTGCACGCTCACCAATTTGACCAACACCTCTCGAATATGCCACCCTGGTTCTATCACAGATTGATGCAGCAGCCCCAGCTGCCTGGGCTGCATCTGCCTGTGCTGATTCAGCCAGTGCTGCTGCTGTTCTGCGCCGAGGAGTCAGCTTTCCTGCCTTCTCCTGCTTGCTGTGCCTTCTAACCTTCTCCTCCACCCCTCCTTCTGTGCCTTTACCCTCCCCTGCTCCCTCTCTTGCTTGAACTTGCCCAGTCCCTTCCTTTACCATCTTTCCCTCCTCTTGTTCCTCTATTGCCACCTTCTTAGCCTGTCGTGGAGTCTTGACCCTTTTCGCCACCTCTCCTCCCCTCTCTTGCGCAGCAGTGCACACCGCCTCTTCTTCTCTTGCTGCTTCTCCCACTCCAACTGCACTGCTTCTCTCGTCTACTGTTCCTCCTCCTCGTCCTCCTCCTCCTGCTACTGACGATGGCACCACTGCTTCTGCTTCTGCTGCTGCTGCTGCTGCAAATGCTACTTCCCTCCCTTCGCCTGCTCTCCCCAATCCCACGTCACCCACCTTCCTACCTCTGTGGTCAAGCCATGCGCCATCCCCACCACTTCTGCCAGCCTCGAGCGAACTCCCACCACCAACTTCCATCACCCCATCAGCAACCACCACATGCCCTCCGTCTTTACCTTCTCCCCCTTCCCTTCGAGCGTTACCCTCTTCCCCCGTTTCCCCTCCCTCTTTACCATCTCCCCCCTCCTCTCCCTCCGATCCTGCTTCCTCCACCCCACTCTCCTTCCCTCTGGAGATTCTGTCTTGAATGGCACCGTCTCCCGAGGCTGGATGGCAGTTTTTGTCCGGATCCGGAAGACGAGGGGACTGCGGGAAATGGAGGGAAACGGAGGGAAACGGAAAGACGGGGTAAGAGCGAGATGAAGATGACAGGAGAAGAAAGTAAAGGAAAAATGAAGATGAGGAGAAGGTGAAGATGGGTGAATGCAGATGAAGGAAGGTGGAGAACGGTAAATGAGGTGAAGACAAGAAAGACAAGAAGATGAGAGAACAGCTATGAACGATGAAGACAGATGAGGGGAGATGAAGGAACGGCAAACACTGAATGGCAAAACATCGTACCCGGTTTATACAGAACACACTCCCCTCCCATCCAAACCCCATCCCATCCCATCTCATCCCATCCCAACCCATCCCATCCCACCGCATCACACACCTTCGTTTTCTCCGGCTTCTTCCGGCTCTTCTTCTTCCTCCCTGATTTGCCTTTGCCATTGTTCTCTGCACAGGGAAGGAAAGATAAATTCACTGAGTAAAAAATGCTATTTGGAAGTCACTTTCGAAAAATCTCAATGTCACATGCCTCGAGAAAGCTTCCGTTTCGACACAATCAGAGAGAAACAAACCGAGCATTGTCAAATCCCAGCCTCACGTCCCCCATCGATGAACGATAGAAGGTCGTCTACCGATCGCTCATCCACCAATCGCTCCTTGTGGTGGTGCCTGTGCCTCGCCTTCCCCAACCCCAATCTTAACATAGGACTGCACTCACTCACCTCCCCCATCGATGAACGATAAAAGGTCATTCACTGATCGCTCATCCACCAATCGCTCCTTGTGGTGGTGCCTGTGCATCGCCGTTAGAGTAAACTCAAAGCCCAAACTTTTGACCCTCACCTCCCCCATCAATGAATGAAAGAAGGTCGTCTACTGATCGCTCATCCACCAATCGCTCCTTGTGGTGGTGCCTGTGCATGTTAGGCCGGAGCACCCAATCTAAACCCATCAATGCCTGCACTCACTCACCCCCCCCATCGATGAATGACAGAAGGTCGTCTACTGATCTCTCATCCACCACTCGCTCCTTGTGGTGGTGCCTGTGCATCGCCTCCCTCAACCCTCCACTCTCCCTGCCCTTCCGCTCCGTCTCCTTCTCCCCTCCCTTCCCTGCCTCCTTCTCTCTGCTTCTCCTCTCGCCACCGTGAGACCTCCCTCCCCTTCCTTGCTCCTCCTCGCTTTCGTCTTCTTGATGGTGACTCGTCGAGTGTGTGTGCTCCTGACAGACAGTAAACAAAGCGCAGAGAGAGACAATCACGAACCACAGACATTGCTTAGAGCCTTCCCTCCTCCTTTTCCTTTTCCTTGCTCTTCCTCATTCCCGTTCTCTTGAGGGTGACTCGTCGAGTGTGTGCGCTCCTGACAGACAGACAACAAAGCGCAGAGAGAGACAATCACGAACCACAGACATTGCTTAGAGCCTTCCCTCCTCCTTTTCCTTTTCCTTGCTCTTCCTCATTCCCGTCCTCTTGAGGGTGACTCGTCGAGTGTGTACGCTCCTGACAGACAGACAACAAAGCGCAGAGAGAGACAATCACGAACCACAGACATTGCTTAGAGCCTTCCCTCCTCCTTTTCCTTTTCCTTGCTCTTCCTCATTCCCGTCCTCTTGAGGGTGACTCGTCGAGTGTGTACGCTCCTGACAGACAGACAACAAAGCGCAGAGAGAGACAATCACGAACCACAGACATTGCTTAGAGCCTTCCCTCCTCCTTTTCCTTTTCCTTGCTCTTCCTCATTCCCGTCCTCTTGAGGGTGACTCGTCGAGTGTGTACGCTCCTGACAGACAGACAACAAAGCGCAGAGAGAGACAATCACGAACCACAGACATTGCTTAGAGCCTTCCCTCCTCCTTTTCCTTTTCCTTGCTCTTCCTCATTCCCGTCCTCTTGAGGGTGACTCGTCGAGTGTGTACGCTCCTGACAGACAGACAACAAAGCGCAGAGAGAGACAATCACGAACCACAGACATTGCTTAGAGACTTCCCTCCTCCTTTTCCTTTTCTTTGCTCTTCCTCATTCCCGTCCTCTTGAGGGTGACTCGTCGAGTGTGTGCGCTCCTGACAGACAGACAACAAAGCGCAGAGAGAGACAATCACGAACCACAGACATTGCTTAGAGCCTTCCCTCCTCCTTTTCCTTTTCCTTGCTCTTCCTCGTGACAGGAGAGGAGAGGAGAGGAGCAGCACACCCAAAACAATTGCACTGAACTTCCCCTCTCCTCGATGCCTTGAGCTGTTTCTCTTGGTGCAATAGTCTTGTCCGTGGCAATATTATGACCTACCCGACTCATACACGTACCTTCTTCCTCAGGAGGTTCTTCCTCTTCTTTGCATATAGCTGGTGCAGTGATCGACTTTGAGTCTGACTAGAAAACGGAAATAATAGTCATGCCTTCTTGAGGGTGGACTAACGAACCCACCTTCTTCCTCAGGAGGTCTTTCCTCTTCTTCGCATAAAGGCGGTTCAGCAGCCGAATGCGCGGATCGTCTGTGCCGCTCCGCACCGGCTCCAGCTTCTCCTCCTGCGGTCACAGGAGAAAAGGGGCGAGGGTCGGAGAAGGGGAAGGAGGAGAGAGGGATCAGGAGAGGAGTAACAAGGAGTCACCGGCTCCAGCTTCTCCTCCTCTCCGTACTGGCTCCAACTTCTCCTCCTGCGGTCACATGTAACAGGTAGCGGGGGCTGTTATTAGTAAACAGGTGGGCTGCGGAGGTCTGATGTCCATCAACTTGAGTGTTATTAAGACGGCGAGACAAACTCCATGAGATGAAAGTGGGAAGCCTGGTTTAAGCTTGTATGCTAGATCGTATTTTAGTAAGCCAGTTTGAACGAAAACGGAATCTTAAAACTTCTCCTACTGGCTCCAACTTCTCCTCCTGCGGTCACATGTAACAGGTAGCGGGGGACAGAAGGTGGGAAAGGGGGAAGGGAAGGAGGGATGGAGGAAGAGGGATCAGGCAAATGCGAGGGTCGTCTGTGCCGCTCCGCACTGGATCCAGCCTCTCCTCCTGTGGTTAGAGGGGACAGACGGGGGGAGAAGTGGGAGGGGGAAAGTGGGGACGGTGCGGGAGAGGGAATGGGGAGAGATATCCGCGGATCATCCGTGCTTCGCCGTACCGGTTCCAACCTCTCTCATTCACCACCCATCCACCCACCCATCCACCCACCCATCCACCCACCCATCCACCCACCCATCCACCCACCCATCCACCCACCCATCCACCCACCCATCCACCCACCCATCCACCCACCCATCCACCCACCCATCCACCCACCCATCCATCCACCCACCCATCCACCCACCCATCCACCCACCCATCCAACCACCCATCCACCCACCCATCCACCCACCCATCCACCCACCCATCCATCCACCCACCCATCCACCCACCCATCCACCCACCCATCCACCCACCCATCCACCCACCCATCCACCCACCCATCCACCCACCCATCCACCCACCCATCCATCCACCCACCCATCCACCCACCCATCCACCCACCCATCCAACCACCCATCCACCCACCCATCCACCCACCCATCCACCCACCCATCCATCCACCCACCCATCCACCCACCCATCCACACACCCATCCACCCACCCATCCACCCACCCATCCACCCACCCATCCACCCACCCATCCACCCACCCATCCACCCACCCATCCACCCACCCATCCACCCACCCATCCACACACCCATCCACCCACCCATCCACCCACCACCCACAAATGACCCCAGGACCTGCCACGAACCTCTGTCAGATCATCCGGTACACGTCTCCCGAATCTCCTCGGGCGACTTGCCCTCTCTATCAGCCTCACGAGCACACTGCTCGAGAGATCCACCAGAGGCTTCCCTGAGGCTTCAGGTACTGCCAATCAGCGTGTAGTGAGGTGCATTTTGAGGCGCCTCAAAAGAGGTCCACCAGAGGCTTCCCTGAGGCTTCAGGTACTGCCAATCCCTGCCCCACGCACCCACCCACCCACCCAACCACACACTCACGCACCTCTGTCAAGTCATCTGGCAGATGAAACGTCTCTCTGATCTCCTCGGGAGACTTGCCCTCTATCAGCCGCGCCAGTGCCCTGCTAGTGAGGTCCACTAGCGGCTTCATTTGAAGCACATCCGCCGCTGACGTCAGCTCACACAGCCTCCTCGGATTCACACGCACGAATTTCTCGTCGAACAGCCTCCGCTCCTGTGAAGGGGGAAAAAGGGGGGAGACAAGGGGGTTGCAACGGGAGAGGAGGGGTTGGGGAGGATGGGGAGAGGCGCAGCTATAAGCTTGCACAGGCTCTCTGGGTCCACACACACACACACACACACACACACACACACACACACACACACACAAAGCTCTTGTAAAAAAGCGAGCTCCTGGTAATACCAGTCAGCTTCATTCACTCACTCTCACTATAACTAGCACTCTCACCCTCACCCTCACCCTCACTCTCACCCTCACCCACCCTCACTCTCACCCTCACCCTCAATCTCACTCTCACCTTATCCAACCACCCTGGCACGCTGTGGTAGCGGCAGTACTCCACCCCCAACTGCAGCACCGCTTGACTCAATGCAGTGCCTCTTACTCACTCTCGCACACTCTCTTCTCTTCCTCACCTTGTCCGACCACCCTGGCACGCTGTGGTAGCGGCAGTACTCCACCACCAACTGCAGCACCGCTTGACTCAATGCAGTGCCTCTTACTCACTCTCGCACACTCTCTTCTCTTCCTCACCTTGTCCGACCACCCTGGCACGCTGTGGTAGCGGCAGTACTCCACCACCAACTGCAGCACCGTTTGACTCAATGCAGTGCCTCTTACTCACTCTCGCACACTCCCTTCTCTTCCTCACCTTGTCCGACCACCCTGGCACGCTGTGGTAGCGGCAGTACTCCACCACCAACTGCAGCACCGCTTGACTCAATGCAGTGCCTCTTACTCACTCTCGCACACTCTCTTCTCTTCCTCACCTTGTCCGACCACTCTGGCACGCTGTGGTAGCGGCAGTACTCCACCACCAACTGCAGCACCGCTTGACTCAATGCAGTGCCTCTTACTCACTCTCGCACACTCTCTTCTCTTCCTCACCTTGTCCGACCACCCTGGCACGCTGTGGTAGCGGCAGTACTCCAACACCAACTGCAGCACCGCTTGACTCAATGCAGTGCCTCTTACTCACTCTCGCACACTCTCTTCTCTTCCTCACCTTGTCCGACCACCCTGGCACGCTGTGGTAGCGGCAGTACTCCACCACCAACTGCAGCACCGCTTGACTCAATGCAGTGCCTCTTACTCACTCTCGCACACTCTCTTCTCTTCCTCACCTTGTCCGACCACCCTGGCACGCTGTGGTAGCGGCAGTACTCCACCACCAACTGCAGCACCGCTTGACTCAATGCAGTGCCTCTTACTCACTCTCGCACACTCTCTTCTCTTCCTCACCTTGTCCGACCACCCTGGCACGCTGTGGTAGCGGCAGTACTCCACCACCAACTGCAGCACCGCTTGACTCAATGCAGTGCCTCTTACTCACTCTCGCACTCTCTCTTCTCTTCCTCACCTTGTCCGACCACCCTGGCATGCTGTGGTAGCGGCAGTACTCCACCACCAACTGCAGCACCGCTTGACTCAATGCAGTGCCTCTTACTCACTCTCGCACACTCTCTTCTCTTCCTCACCTTGTCCGACCACCCTGGCACGCTGTGGTAGCGGCAGTACTCCACCACCAACTGCAGCACCGTTTGACTCAATGCAGTGCCTCTTACTCACTCTCGCACACTCTCTTCTCTTCCTCACCTTGTCCGACCACCCTGGCACGCTGTGGTAGCGGCAGTACTCCACCACCAACTGCAGCCCCGCTTGACTCAACGCAGTGCCTCTTACTCACTCTCGCACACTCTCTTCTCTTCCTCACCTTGTCCGACCACCCTGGCACGCTGTGGTAGCGGCAGTACTCCACCACCAACTGCAGCACCGCTTGACTCAATGCAGTGCCTCTTACTCACTCTCGCACACTCTCTTCTCTTCCTCACCTTGTCCGACCACCCTGGCACGCTGTGGTAGCGGCAGTACTCCACCACCAACTGCAGCACCGTTTGACTCAATGCAGTGCCTCTTACTCACTCTCGCACACTTCCTTCTCTTCCTCACCTTGTCCGACCACCCTGGCACGCTGTGGTAGCGGCAGTACTCCACCACCAACTGCAGCACCGCTTGACTCAATGCAGTGCCTCTTACTCACTCTCGCACACTCTCTTCTCTTCCTCACCTTGTCCGACCACCCTGGCATGCTGTGGTAGCGGCAGTACTCCACCACCAGCTGCAGCACTGCTGCTGACACCTGCTCGCACACTCTCCTGTGACCTGACTGCAATGACACTAACAAACAACGTCCCTCTCACCTTATCCGACCTCCCCGGAACGCTGTGGTAGCGACAGTACTCCACCACCAGCTGCAGCACCGCTGCTGACACCTGCTTCGGGAGAAGAATGGGCGATGACTCATGCGATCCCCCAGCACTGCCACCAGCAGCGGCAGCACCAGGAGCATTGGCAGTAGCAGCAGCAGCACCAGCAGCACCGCCACTGGTAGTAGCTGCAGTTGCGACAGCATCACCAGCCGCCTCAGCAGCAGCAGCAGCACCAGCACCAGTATCACCAGCAGCGGCATCAGTGATAACGGTACCAGCAGCTGCAATCATGGAATAATCACTCAGCCTCTTCGCAACATCTCCCACGCCCGCTCCCTCTCCCTTCCCTCTCACACCCTCGTCAAAATGTCCCTTTTCCGTTCTGACTTTACCCATCGCCAGAGGTGACCGTTGAGCCATGGCCTGCCAGAGGAAGGGGATGAAAGCCGCGACGCGTCTGTCCATCTGGAGCGTCTCGCCCTCTGACGTCAGCAGCCACACGCCCGTGGCGCTGTCGAATCCCACGGGGGACGGGCTTTCAGCCACTTTACTGCCTGAATCTGCTCCCTTGTCTGGTTCCGCTCCCTCTACTGATTTAGCTCCCGTGGCGCTGACGAATCCCACGGAGGAAGGGCTTTCAGGTACCTTCTCTGAATCTGCTCCCTTTTCTGGTTCCGCTTCATTCTTCAATTCCGCTTTGTTACTTGCTTCCGCTCCCTTTACTGTTTCCGAAACCTGCCCTGGTTCTGCTCCCTGCCGTGATTCGGGTGCAGCGGCTCCGTTGTTGCTTGCTGACGTGTCGTTATTCCCAAGTGGCGTTGTCGCTGGCGTTACATCATCACATAATCGTGTTACATTGTCAGTCGATGCGGTTACAGGGTCAGAATCGGTTGTTACATCTGGTGTTACAGAATCGGTTTCTGGAGTAGCTGTTGCATCAGTACTCCCGATATTGCCACTCTCGCCGGCTGCTTCCCTGCTACTTCCGTTACTATCACCCTCAGGGGAATCGCTGGGTTCTCCCCGATAGCTGGATTCGGTTGATCGTGTCATGACTACCGACGGTCGAGATTAGAAAAGGAGAACACGTTTCTTGCAAGATTACCCCGTCCGCGTTGCACCTTGTGGATTATTGTTTGCCTGAACGACCACACTAAGGCGTATCCCTGACTAGACTAGAGGTTTCTAGCGATGTCGCTCCTACCAGCCTGAGCTCAATGATGTCGACGATTGTAGTTGCGATCGAGATAGTGTTTGAGAGAACGTAATCGACGGTTGTGCGAGACATGCTGCGGCTCCGAGGGTGACACGCACCGTAGATTGGTTCGGGTACGTCGATGGTGGAATCGCAGCCGCCAAGAAGGAAACTGCAGCCGAAAATCCCAGGGTTTCGAACACCCTCGACCGCGCTATGGAGTGTTTGTTTTGTCAGCGTTAGATGTTCTCGTAAAGTCGAACCAAAGTACAATGGTGTGAGTTTGGTCAGCAGCACTAGTTTCCCCGTTCAACTAAGTTTTTTTTGGTTGTGCAGTCGTCACCGAGTCCAAGCAAACAAAGCGAAACTCTGTAGTGCGAATAATGTCACCCCAATGATGCGAAAACAGAGAGCGGAGTAAGATGGCGTTCACAGGAAGTTCCCCCAAAGCGAACCGCGCTCAACAACAGTGTACAGATATTTGTGAAGCACGTGTTTGGGGTTGCTTCACGAAAGTCTGTCATGAATGATCTTGAAGTCTACGGGGTTACATGCCCCTGATTGGGTTTGATAATTCGCTCAAACTCGTCTAGGTGTGTATCCACGTTCGCATGGCACGTGGAGTGGGTGTGGTCAGTTGCAAAACTGCCACACTGGACCCACTTTTGGGCCTCTTGGGGCTACTTCGCTTGGGGGAACTTGCTGTGAATGCCATCTAAACCTCAGGCAGTCATAAGAAGAGTCGATTACTACCGCCGGCAGTTCTAGAACCATTACGACCTCTCACACCGTTACTTCTGCCAGCTCGTTTCGAGGTTATGCTGCAATCTTTTCAGCACGACACTCTTCTTTGAACAAGAATCGTTAGGGTTATGTGCAAACTTTTTTCCTGGGATTCAGTTGACGGAACAACCCACGGTTGCGTGTTATTCTCAACTGCCTGTTGTTATTAGCTTGCCTTATACCGTTTGCGTGTTCTTATACCCCTCCCGTCAATTGTTATCTCTCCTTAATATAAGCATTCCGCCTTCTCTTCTCGTTCCTTTCGACGTGCTCCTTCCCAGCTATACCCCTTGCTAATAGCTGCGTCTCTCCTTACTCGCTTTCCCCGTTTCCCGGCTTTTCCCAGGGGCCTCTGAAACATCATAATTCAATGACCAGCAAGAGCAACCAGCAGCATCGCCAGCAGCAGCACCAGCACCTCTAGCACCACTAGTTGTACCAGCAGTCGACATGCATCTCTCCCTCCAGCTCCCGGGTTCCGCCCGAGTCGCGGATCTCAGAGACTTTATTGGCCTCCAAAGGCGGTCCGGCCGCCACTTCCCCCTCGTGCCTCCTTTTCGGATCGCGCCTGCTCTCTGACGATACCGCGCCGCTAGCATCCGTATTCGTGTTGCGGCGCGGTGAGCCACGTACACGTTCGCTTCCGCTTCGGGACCTGATTATCCATCGGACGTTTTTTCTGCCCGGCGGCTCGTCCGAACTCGCGGTTCCGCGCCCGAAGCTCAACTTCAATCCACGACCCCCTCTTAACTATGTCACCGGTCTCGGTCCGATATTGGTCACGCCAGGGCGGCGCGAGACATGCCGGACCGCAACGCGGCGCTGCTGCGCCGCGTGAGAGGCGCGGGAGGGGACGGGGGTAGCGGAGGATGTGGAGGAAGAGGAGGTCAGAAGCAGTAGCAGGAGCACTGTACAGCGTTACCTTGGGTGTTACAGCACAATGGGCATCCGCACGAGTTGTTTTCTTGGTAGTAGACATGACAAGAGAGGAACGAGCACCACTTTTTTCCCTCCCTCCTCCCCTGCCCCTCCTGCTGTGAAAGAACAAGGAATGAATGAACTAGCAAGCAGGTGAGTAGGAAAACCTAAAAGTGTTGTACCCCATATTGTCTACCCCACTACAGCCTACACAGACTATAGCATATGAGTTTGACACACCCCCATAGGCAAAGTGGGGGAGAACAAGAGGTCACAAGACCAGTCAAGCAAAGCAAAGCAAGCTCAGGGTGGATCACAACGTCACCACACAGTCCGAGCACAAGAGCAAGGCCACAAGGCCAGTTCACATGCAAGATCATATATAAAGATAAACAAGCAAGTGCAGGTATAGAAAGATCACAGTACAAGCAAGGTCAAGAAGTGAGCAAGTGAGGCCAAGTAGGCACAAGACCTAGCATCGTACAGAAGCGCTGATGATCACAAGGCGGAAGTGCCTTGGTAAAGATATCAGCAGTGTTGGCCTCAGAGGCCACGTAAGCAAGGCGCAGCTGACCACGCTGCTGCAGCTCACGAGCAAGGAAGTAGCGAAGAGCAATGTGCTTCGTTCTGTGCTCCAGTCTGTGCTCCCGACACAAGGCCAGCATGGCCTTGTTGTCTACGTACAAAACTGGAGGAGAACGAGGCGGCTCTCCTAGGTCAGTCAGCAGGTAGGTGAGCCAGTGTAGCTCCTGTGCAGCCATGGCCCCCGCGTAGATCTCAGCCTCACAGCTGGAGCCGAGAACAGAAGACGAGCGGGTAGACCGCCACGAAACAGAGCCGGAGCCAAGGCTGAAGGTGTAACCCTGTGACGACCGCTGCGTAGCCTGGTCGTCAGCCCAAGAAGCGTCTGCTTGACCTGTGAGGACCACTGAACGCCGCCCTCCAAGCACTAGCCCCATGCCCGACGTACTGCACAAGTAGCGCAACACCCTCTTCGCTGCAGCCATGTGCTCTGGTCGGTGTCTCCCAGGAGCAACATAGCGTGCCAAGATGCTAAGAGGGTATGCTAGGTCAGGTCGTGTGCAGGTCATCAGGTACATGAGGCAGCCAACAAGCTCTGGGTACGGGCCACTCGGCTCTACGGACTCATCCGAAGGCAGAGCTGAGAGCGAGTGGCGAGTAGACAGAGGAGTGGCCTGAGGCGAGGAGTACGTGAAGTCGAAGCGCTGAAGGACCTGCTGCACCATGTGTGACTGAGTCAGGGTAATGGTGCGC